GAAGCAGAACCAACTCTTCCAAACAATCTCATGCCTTCAGTGAGGGATCATCTGGGGCAAAGTCATCCCAGGCAGCTTTACTGTGCTGCCCAGGCAAGGTAAAGGGCTTGCTCTCCCTAGTGCTGGAGCAGAGTGGGGATAAGGCCAGGTCTCCCACCTGCTGTAGGAAGAAAAGAGTGGCAGGGCTGGCTCTCCCACTCTCACACTCTTGAGGCCTACTCACTTGCAACTCCTATAACCAGGGCCAGCTCTGCTGCGTTTCCTGGGCGATGTGCCAGGTCACCCTGCTGAGTGCTGCAGTTGGCTAGGGGTAAGGTCAGCTCTCCTTCCCTCATGCACCCAGGCTCAGCTCCCCTGGGTGGGTGGTGGGGCCAATTCTGCACACTCCTCAGACATCAACGTATCCCCAGGTGTCAACCCAGACCAGAGATCTGGCCTTTGGTGGTAACAGACCCCTGCTGCAACAGGACCATGTACCCAGACAGTAACCCCAGTGGCAGTGCAGACAAGAACACACCACGGGTCCTAGGTGATATCACATCAGACTGTTCCTCACTATCCTGAGTCTACAGTTCTTCCTCTGCTCATTGTGCACACATCCTCTGCTTCTTTCTTGGCCACTTCCTTGCTTCTTTTAATGTTACCTGGGGTCTCAGAGTGTCTGGGCTTGTCTCAGAAGTACTCTCAGGAGTACTATGCCCTTCCCATGCCACTGGGCAGTGGTCATCTCAGGCATGGTCCGCTCCTCACCCAAGACCAACTGGTAGTCATCTCAGGCTAGCTTCCTGTCATGGCACCTATCCCCATTGGGTAGTTATCATGTTGTGTTCACTCCTTGTTCTGCCCACCAGGGTTGCCCATGCAGGGATGCTCTGTCTCTGGTCTCACTCCTGACCAGAGCCTGAAGTCTCATTTGATCCTTCCTGGCCCTGCCTGAGGATCATCCCTGATATTGGTCCTCAAGGGCAAAGGAAGCCAGGGCAATGGACAGGGCATTCAGAATCCCCTGCAGTGTGGATGGAAATGATGATTTCTGGGACCAGCTTCAGGGAGACAGATCAATTTTATTTGGGGTGAATGAAGGTTATATAGAAGTTTGGGGAGGAGGTAGGCATCTGAAGGGTGGGTTGTCAAGAGCCGTTCCATTAAAGGAGTTCAGTAGGCATGTGGGCTTTCTGGAAGGATCTGGTATTTTGCAAAGTCTGTATAGTGATATACCCCAGAATTGCTTCCATCCTCTGGCAACCCTATCATTTCTGCACTGCTACATCTCTCTAAAATCCAGCAAGGTGTGAACCATCACTTTCTGGGTATTTACCCACTCTGAACAAACTTCCTACAGGATCATTATGGAGCTGTACTGCTGTTCAGATGAATTAATTCCTGATTATAGAATTCCTGATTTGATTGAAACTATTTTAGAAGTTAAATTGTTTTAGAGCTTTGAAAACAGTTTTAGAAGTTTGTAGACCTCCAGATACCTCATTAGGAGACAGGCTTGAGGCAGATTTGTGCCTTCAGATAGCTTTCACTTGAGATGGCACCATGAATCCTGGTATACGACATAAATATAGGTGATTAGTTTAAACTTCCCATGAACCCAAAATATAATGGGACCACCAAGAAATGTCTAAATTAAGTCCAAATTTTGATGTCTATAAATACAAACTGCTTTGCTCTAATTCCTTATACCTTTTCAGCTTATGGCATAAAACATTGTCATTCTGAATTTACTTTGCATCTTAAAATGGGAGACAGATAACATTGTTGTCCTGAACCCGTTATAAACTAAGAAATAGCTGGAAAATGTGTAGCCAAGTCAGTCCTAACTGAAAAAGATATGTATCTTGTAACCTCTTGGACCCTGTTATCTTTCAGCCTTGCCAACCATTGTCATTCTGACCTCATTATAAATTTGTGTATTAGATACATCAATAAGAAATGTTTAGTTTTAATGAAAAAAAAGTAACCTGCTGTATTTTAGAATTCAAGTGTTTTTGTAATTAGCCCTTTTGAATATGATGTAGAGTCTTTTCTGACATAGAGAGCTTTTGTCTCAAGAAAACATAAAAGTTTATGTTTTATAAATAAAGGTTGAAGCCTACAGGAATGTGGTTCATCCACGAGTTATAAATATGTAAATAGATATGTGTTTGCATGCAAATATGTCCATCTGTCTGTTTTTGGTACATATGTTATATGAGTGTATGTCAATTGTCTATATGTATGTAAGGAGTTCCTTTGTATCATCCCTCGAATGTGTGTATGACTATGTACAGGTCTAGATGTCTGATTGTTTTTGTATTTATGGGCTGATACTATGGAGCCGGCAGCCTGAACTTGCTGCAGTTTCTGCAGAGGAGATGCTAGCTGAAATCAACATCTTCCTCCTATGTAAGTTTGTAGAAACTTGTTGAAGTTGAAGTTAAAGTTTTTAATTTTATCCACCTTTCCCTCTTGAGTGCTTGTACATGTGAGTGGTCTATTTTCTATCTCTCTCTTATTTATTTCTTATTTCCCTGCAGAGCCACAAGTTAGTAGTTTCAGGGCCTTAACCATCAGTCTTTGAAGATAAGCAAGCTGAAGTGTACTTTAGCCTGTGGAGTCCTTGGCATAGGTGCTAGGGCTAATCTCATATCAAAGAGCCACCTTTCCCCTCCTGGTCTTTCTATCTCTGCCTTCTTTCATAAGATTCCTTGTACTCTGCCTAAAGTTTGGCTATGAATCTCAGTATCTGTTTTGATACCTTGCTGGGTTGAGTCTTTCAGAGGCCCTCTGTGGTAGGCTCCTGTCCTGTTGCCTGTTTTTTCCTTCTTCCTATGTCTGTCCCATTTGCCTTTCTGAGTGAGGATTGATCCTCTTACCCAGGGTCCTCCTTCTTGCTTAGCTTTTTTAGTTATACAGATTTTAGTATGTTTATACTATATTATATGTCTAATATCTACTTCTGAGTGAGTATATACCATGTGTGTCTTTCTGCTTCTGGGATGCCTCACTCAGGATGATCTTTTCTAGTCCCCACCATTTGCCTGCAAATTTCATGATTTCCTTGTTTTTAATGCTTGATTAGTATTACATTTTCTAAATGTACCACATTTTTTGTATCCATTCCTCAACTGAGAGACATCTGGGTTGTTTCCAGGTTCTGGCTATTACAAATAAAGCTGCTATGAATATGGCTGAGTAAATGTCCTTATTGTATACTTAAGCATGTTTTGGATATATGCCTAGGAGTGGTATCTAGGTTGATATCTAGTGGTATCTAGGTATCTAGGATCTTGAAATAGCACTATTCCTAATTTTCTGAGAAAGCGCCAGATTGATTTCCAAAGTGAATGTACAAGTTTACATTCCCAACAGCCACCAGCAATGGAGGAGGGTTTTCCTTTCTCCACATCCTCTCCAGCATGTGTTATCACTTGAATTTTTGATCTTAGCCATTCTCATGGGTGTAAGATGAAATCTCAGGGTCGAATTCAGTGCCTGGCTTTTTGATCACTTCCCCCTAATTGGGGGACAGCCTTACCAGGCCACAGAGGAAGACAATGCAGCCAGTCCTGATGAGACCTGATTGGCTAGAGTCAGAGGGAAGGGGAGGAGGACCTCCCTTATCAATGGGCTGGAGGAGCAGCATGGAAGGAGATGAGGGAGGGAGGATGGGATTGGGAAGGGAAGAAGGAGAGGGCTACAGCTGGGATACAAAGTGAATAAACTAATTGATAGATCAATTGATAGATATAGACAGATAGATAGATAGATAGATAGATAGATAGATAGATAGATAGATAGATAGATAGAGATAAATGGGGGGAAGAGCCTCCTTTTACACCCTACTGCAGTCTTGGACAGAAGCAGGAAATGGTGGTCAGTTTCAGTTTTCCTGTTTAGCCTTATAACAGCGAGTACAGAATCATTAGAGAAGGCATTCTTTGCTCCCTCCTCTATTTCTTCTTTCATTTATTCCTGATTAGTTGCCTGAGCCATCAGCTTGGCAATCCAATAGATAAAGGGAACAGGGATTCTGCATCCCATCCCAGACTCTACCCTGGATTTTGCTAAAGCAGTGGGTAAAGGCCTTTGATTGGAGGGCTGAGGTACTGAGATGCCTAATTTTCATGGGGAGGCGGTCCAGGGATCCCAGGTATTTGTGTTATGCCCAAGTCTCATGGACCCCAAAGACCACCAAGGAGCCGATTCCAATGCAAAAGCAGTAGGTTCTTTTTATTACAAGCTGGAGCTCGGGCCCACACCTTCACCAATGCAGCAGCTGTGTGTAGAGCCCCGAGATCAAGAGGAGGAGGGTCTTTATTTAGTGTTACAACAAGGTAAATTGGGAAGTTCTAGCTAGGCAGTTTTAAGATTGATTGACATTTAGGAAATATAGGGAGTCTGGAGAAAATTGTTTGCCCGGAGAGCCAAGCCAAACTGTACTTGTTTTACTCATCCTGTTGTAAAGAACACATTGATTAGCTGTTGCTAGAGGGTGATGGTTAAATATTACTAGGTTTCCTCAGGACTATTCCTTGGGTAAGGGACTCCACTGTCTTCTTTTTGGAATTGGTGACCTCTGGCCTTATTCCTGGGACTGATGGCTTTTGGGGTGTATGTGTGTGTTGGGGGGGGGAGATAAGGCCTGGCTCTCTCACTTGTTGAAAGGGCTCTTATCAGGAGAAAGGGTGTTGGAACTATAATTTCCTTAAGGACCATGTGACCTTCCTCAGGCGGAGTTTGTATGGATCTGGGTTCTGCCTGCATCGAGCAGCTGAAGGAAGCCTCACCTACAAACGGAGTCCTCCATTTTGCCTTGAGCTCTGGGCTTTCAGGTCATGGTAGACTTGGATCTTAGCATCAACGGTCTCAGGTATGGTTCTTTGAGTCCTGGACTCACTCCATGCCCCGGAAGCCCATCTTGGTCTGTGCAGGTAACTAGGAGTCATCTCAGGCCGTGTCCAGGCCTTTTGGCATCAAACTAATTGTGCTCTCAGGCTCACTTTTTTTTTTTTCAGGAAGTGTTAGGCATCTCATCATCCACAGGTCACAACACTGAGAGCAGACATAATTTTTTGTCCTTTCTGCCACCTATGGACACACGTGTGACACAGAGGCCACACGTGAAATGTCTCTATGAGCAGTTTTACTTTTTTAACATTTTTTACTTTTACTTTTTTTTCTTCTTTTTTTTACCCTACAGGTTGTTTGCATATAAATTATTGCTTCAGGTTTTGTGTTTTTATGGGATTCCTAAGTGTGTGAATGAGTGAGTTTCTGTCTGTGTCTGCTTCCTATGCTTTTAGTTGGGCTCTTCTCCCAATGTCTGCTTGTTTTGTCCTATTCTGATGTATTTGGTTTTGTTTTTTCTTATATTTTATTTTACTATTATCCCTTACAAGTCTGTTTATTTTCTAATGAGAGACAGAGGGGGTTTGGATATGAATAACAGGAAAGGTGGGGAGGAACGGGGAGGAGCAGAGGGAGGAGAAACAGTAAGCAGAATATAGTATATGAAAAACCCATTTGAAATAAAACAATAAAATTAAGTGATTCCCAAAGTTGTCACCATTAGTTTATCTTTTGCTTCAGTGAATTTAATACCCTTGTCTTAATGGATTTAATGATCTCCTGAACGTTGGATTCTCAGCCTGCTTACAGCTCACAGTTTTAATACCTGAGAGTTTCAGCACTACACAAGCTTCCTAACAGAGCCCGGCAGTAATTTTGCCCCTTCATGCGCGGCTCCAATCATCACTGGACTCTTCCCTGTTTATGAATTTCTACATTGCTCACCGTGGAGCCCTGCTCTGATGCCATGACAGGCCTGCTACTTTCACTGTGCCCTGCGATCCAGTTATTTGCCCCGGAGGGCCACCTGTTTCTGTCTCCATGCACACATTTTACAAAGAAGGATAGCTTGATTATCAGAAACAAACTTGCATATTGGGGAAAAATCTCTTTTACGTTAACTACAGCTTTTAAATGTAAACGCAGGTATTACAAACCGTGGTTAGCTGAATGATACCAATGTAATTCTGTAACTTGTTTTAAAGTTGAGATGTGGTTTTCCATTTTAAAACACTTTTTTCATGGCTGTAGAAATTGTTTGACTCATTTATGTAAGTATTAAAAATGTTTCTCCAGGAAACAACCTAGGAACCTGCAACAGAGGGCCCGTGAAAGCCTCTGCCCTGCAGACTATCAAAGCAGATGCTGAGACTTATGGCCAACTGTTGGGCAGAGTGCATGGAATCTTATGTAAGAAGTGAGAAATAGTAAGAGCTGGAGAAGATGGGAACCACACAAGGAGAGCAACAGAACCAGAAAATTTGAGCACAGGGAACTTCCCAGAGACTCATACTCCAACCATGTACCAGGCATGAAGATAACCTAGAACCCCTGCACAGATGTAACACATGACAGTTCAATGTCCAAGTGGGTTACATAGTAATGGGAAGAGGGACTGCCTCTGACATAATCTGATTGGCCTGTTCTTTGATCACCTCCCCCTGAGAGGGGAGCAGCCTTACCAGGCCACAGAAGATGACAATGCAGTCACTCCTGATGTGATCTGATAGACTAAGATCAGAAGGGAAGAGAAGAGGACCTCTCCTATCAGTGGACTTGGGGAGGGGCATGCGTGAAGAAGGGGGAAGGAGGGTGGGATAGGGAAGGGAGGAAGGAGGGGCTTATGGGGGGATACAAAGTGAATAAAGTATAATTAATAAACTTAAAAAAATGTTTCTGTTAAGTAAATGTAAAATATTTTCAAGTTTTTAGCATCATCCTAGTAGAAGAAAATACATAATCTTGACCAAAAAAATATCATATTGTGTTGGATTAGTATGACTGAAGATAAATGAATATCAAAAATACATAACAAAAATGCTGTGTAATTTTATTTATATTGAAAAATTTTATTTGTCTAAAACTCTACACTAATGCTTTTAATTTTTAAAGACAAGTTTGTTTCTTGTTAAATATTTATACAATGGAAATTGAGTTTTGAAATAATCAAAAATATGTTTGTCCACCTTGTTCTTGTTCTAAGTTCTTGTTGTTGTTGTAACAATTATTTTTTGGAAAAGGGAATCTGTGTGGGGATACCTGTGTGCCACAGTATGTGTGGGGAGACCGGAAGACAAATACGGAAGTCAGTTTTCTCTTTCCGCCTGTGGTTACAGAGCTTGCAGTCAGGACACTAGATTTTTAGTCAAACACCTTCAGCCCCTCAGCCATCTTGCAAACCCTGCGTCTCTTAGATCACAGAGAATTTACATCTTTTGAAAGGAATATACAAGCAGTTCAATTGCATTTTCGGGAAAAGAACAGGTGTTATTACTAGAGACCAGAAAAACCAAACAACTTTTCTTACTAAAACCTTTCTTGTGGAATTAAATGCATATTTATACCCTTTATGTTTCAATAAATAGCATTATGTTTGCATATACTTAAAATTAAAAAGTAAAACATGTACTTACTGCATTGTATAGTAAATATATTTGTACTTACCCAGTGCTTTAAAATTTCAAAGAAAGTTTCTTAGAATTCCAAATGTGCTTACTTTGCTTTTGATAATGGTAGATGGGTTTCCTCTGTTTACTTATAGACAAAAATGCTTTTGTAAGTTGATTTTGATGGTGAGTAGAAATGTCATGCAATAGAAAGAGAAATATTAAAGTTGTTTGTCATGTTTAAAAAAAAAAAAAGTAAATTTTAGCCAGTGAGCTGACTCAGCAGATGACATTTAGGACCTGAGTTCAGTTCCAAAACAATTTTTATTATCTCCTGCATATTGTTCTCTGAACAAATGTGCAACATGGCACACTCACTCACATACACACACACATACACACACACACACACACACAAACATACACACCCAAACACACACATGCACACAAACACACATAATCATAATCTATTAGTTTAAATTAAAAGCTTACTTATAAATTTGGAATATTTACAACTTCAGATGTAGCCCATGGCAGTTCAGTATCCAAGTGGGTTCCATTGTAATAGGAACAGGGACTGTCTCTGACATGAACTGATTGGCCTGCTCTTTAATTACCTCCCCCTGAGGGGGAAGCAGCATTACCAGGCCACAGAAGAAGACAATGCAGCCACTCCTGATGAGACCTAATTGACTAGGATCAGAAGGAAGGAAAAGAAGTCCTCTCCTATCAGTGGACTTGGGAAGGGGCATGCATGCAGAGGATGGAGGAAGGGAGGGATTGGAACTGGAGGAGGGAGGGAACCACAGGGGGATACAAAGTGAATAAAGTGTCATTAATAAAGAAAAAAAAAATTTACAATTTGTAAACATAATTTGTGTAGGTAGATTTGTAAATAAATTTGTAAGTAGATTTTATTTGAAAGCTAATGGAGATTTTAGCTAGATGATGAGATTGAGTGCAAGGCGTGATGGTGACCGAGGTTGGAAAAAGTCTCCTGCATCTAATTGTCCAGAAGCTTATTGAGTGTTATGGTTAGGATAAGACACAGAGGCCTAAAGACAGTCATTGGAAATCAGCACCTAAACTCATTAAAATTTAATAATAAAGAAACAAAGCCTACCACAATACAGTAAGTCTTTACCAAAATGAAAATAATTTTGCCTCAAATTATGAATTTTTAAGTGAGCCAAATTATTTACCCAGCATTAAATATTAATTTAATGCGCTATTTAAATTGAGAACTTGCTGATGAGTCAGATATTGTTATATCTGATATAGTTCTTTTTTTATTTTAAATATGGTAAATTATCAAAAGTTAGTAAAACATAAGCTTAAATCATTGCTTATTATTTATGGTATAAAATATGTATTCAATAGAAAATAAGGTAACAGGATACAAACATACCTTCCCATAACCATCACAGACAAGTACTTTGTTCTGAAACTAGATTGAAATACTGTCCTATTAATTTTTAAAGTTCACATACAAATTAATAAATTTTTTTATACATATGTGTCATATGTTTAAAAAAACAATCAAACAGAAGCACACCATTCAGAATTACCTAAATGCTTCGGAGCAAGGCCACACCATGAAGCTATGCAATATTAGCAACAAAAGCGAATGCAAACAACGAATCTTGATTCAAAATGGAATCAAATACATATTTATTTTCTGTTATGTAATTATCAGGTAGAGAAAAATGGTACACAGGCATAACACAGAATTGAAAGTATTCTGCAGATGACATAACCATTAAACTGCAGACTTGACTAAATTCATAAGTAGAAGATTAAGGTAACATGCTGATGAAGGCCATTTTTGTACTATTACTTTCACCCGTGAAATTGCTAAACCTCAGAGAGGGTGGCTTAGCACCATCATCAAATGAAACAGAAATATGCAGAAGTAGAGGGTAGAATGCACATCATTGCCTCAGCCAACAGGACAGTGATTATCACAATTGAAAGAAACAGTTCTAGTAGGACACTGTGCTTTTTTCTGTGTTTAATAAGTGATTGGAATCTGCAGTGTTGCCCTGGAAAGCTACTTTCACAGAAAAATCATCTTAGTGACTTCACAAAATCATAAGGAATTTTAATTCATACTTCTAATAACCAATTGACAATATGAAATAAAGAAATGGGTTTTGTTGGTTAATACTGAAATGGAAATCTGTGAATAATTGATTAAGGTTTGAGGCATAATGGAAAAAAGAGCTAGCAATAATAATATTAAGATGAATAATGGAAGAAAAAACTAGAATTTTTCAAGTTTTGCCATGAGAACTTATTTATATTCTTATCTACAATTTTTTAAATTTTTTATTAATTTCACTTCATTCATTTTGTATCCCCCATAAGCCCCTCCTTCCTCCCCTCCCCACCCTCCCTCCCCTTTCTGCATGTATGCCACTCCCCAAGTCCACTGATAGGGGAGGTTCTCCTCTCCTTTCTGATCTTAGTATATCAGTTCTCATCAAAAGTGGCTGCATTGTCCTCTACTGTGGCCTGGTAAGGCTGCTCCCCACTCGGGGGGAGGTGATAAAAGAGCAGGCCAATCAGATTATATCAGAGGCACTCCCTCTTCCCATTACTAGGTAACCCACTTGGACACTGAACTGCCATGGGCTACATCTGTGCAGGGGTTCTAGGTTATCTCCACGAATAGTCCTTGGTTGGAGT